CACAGAGGGCGGTGTCTGCGGACAGCAGAGAATTGCGAGAAGGGGCTACACACGATTTTTGGCGCGATGAGGCGGCTTCTGTGACTTTACGCTCTTTTATTTTCAGGGTTGAGAGAATATCCTTTGCTGGAATGTATTGTGGGAGACCATCCGCGTACATATATATTTTTTCAACCCCTTGACATTTGTTGTCTGCCGTGAAACAGATGTTGATGGCCGTTTTGTGGCGGCGAGATGCATTTTTATTTATTGGCGAGTGGGCGAATTGTGTTGCGTTCTGCCACGCGGCTTGTTGCTGAGGGCACGTGGCCGCAGGGAGACGTTGTGAGCGCCTCTGACACGAGGGGCGATTGAGCAGTCATCTCCTCCGCTCGCCGGTACACGCTGTTGAGGCGGCGTGATGGTAATGAACCGGCCTCTCAGAAGGGTAAAAAGAGGACGTTTGCTCTTCCTGCTGCGGTTCACGAGTGGACTCTACAATCCGTGGGCGAGGTCACTCTGTGTGTCGTATTTCTTTGAATTTCCATGAGTTTTGCACATCGCCATCCACACGCACATGCACGCGGTCTCCCTGTTTGCCCTCCTGTGGGCGGGAGACCGGGATGCAGAGGGAAAAATGTGGCCCGTGCCAGCATGTGGTAAAGTCTTTCTTGGGAGGGATTGCGACTGTGATGCACGTCCTGGCAGGCAGGAATGGGATGGGCGAAGAGCAGAGGGCGAGTAACAACGATCGTGTGCGGGGCAATGCGCAGTGAGTAGGGCGGAGTGGTATTTGTGTTGAGTTTTCAAAGCATTTTTGTCTTTTTCTTATCTGACGATGGAAAGAAGCTTTGGGTGATGAGTTGTGGATTATTTGCACATGATTCAGCGCGGCAACACCATTTGCGGAGAAAATGAATGGCAGCTGCGTGCGGCTTGTTTTGTGAGCGCGAGATGGTCGGGGAGGTGTTCAACGCTCCGAGAGGCCCGGAGCAAAGAGGCGTGCACTGCTGCAAGCAGAGGGATGCACGCTCCTGTTGGTGGCGTTGCTGTGGAGCCCTGAATGGCCTGCAAGGAATTTGTTTCCGCCGCCTCATTATTTTTTTGATTGGTGCTTGCCGCGGCCTTTTGAGGCGGGGCGTGGGATGGACCGAGAGAGCGTGTGTCGTGTGACTGTGCTGTGAATTGATGCTGCCCACGTTTGTGCAGATAATTCCGTTTGTGTCCGCGTCCTTGCCGCGGCGGTACACCGGGAGTGTGTGACCGATCACTGTATCACTTGCGGACTGTTTTGGCAGGACTTTGAATGACGCCGCCGAATGATGAAAGTCCACGTCCATTTGTGTGTGTGTGTGTGTGTTGGCTTCCTGTGTGACTTGCCGTGTTTTTTTTGTTTTTTTGTGTGTGTGCGATGTTTTTCCGTGATGTCCATTACAGATTCTGTTTTGTCCGCACCTTGCGTGAGTGATGTGCTCTGCTCTAACCCCGCTGACGTGCCTGATGTGCTGCCGCTGTTGCTGCTGTACTCTCCACTTCTTGAACACGGACACGCTAGGAAAGAAAGCAATCAAACGCGAATCACTACTGTGAAATTGAAGGCTCTGAAAGGACCAACAGCACACACACCGCCCACACACACATATTTATATGCTCTCACGTGTTGCTGCAGTGAAGGCACCCCGCACACACAACCGCCGCCGCGTGACCGGATCCAGCGGAAGGAGGAGGGAAGGAAGAGAGAGTGAGCCGCAGAGGCCCAACATGTCCCGGCATTACTTCTGCTCTGCGGTGCTGCTACTCGTCGTGATGATGTGCTGCGGCAGTGGAGCTGTGCACGCTGAGCAGGCAGGGGCCACTGTTGATCCGTTTAAGGGGAAGACGTCGATACCGCTTACTAATTGGAAGGAGTTTAACGAGGCCGGAAGGAAAATCACCTCGCTCCGTGTTCCTGGCCTCGTTAAAGTGGGTGAAGATGTATTTGCCGTTGCTGAAGCGCAGTGCGGGGAGGAGAAGGGAGCCGGCAGCTGTGCTGGGATTGTGTCAAAGCACCTGAATATAAGTGGCAGCGCATTGGATATTTCTACGTCGGATACAAGTTTGTTTTGCATGCAACTTGTGGACACCGCCGCGAATAATTTTGGGACAACGGAATTGTTGCGACCAACGACGCTTTTGCTTGGGGACAGTGTTTACATGCTCCTGGGAAACCAAAGCCGTACAAAGCCGCAGTTTCAAGGCACGAATGAGCGGGGTCTTTTACTCGTGAAGGGAACTGTCTCTGACGAGGGTGGAAACAACAAGAAACTTTTGTGGAATGAGGCCCATGTGGTGAAGCCTGAACCCAGAGGAGATTCTCTTTCCTTGACCGAGTTAATTGGCGGTGGAGGATCGGGCGCTGTGATGGGTGATGGCGCGCTTGTGTTTCCCATGCAGGCCAAAAACAAGGATGAAGAGCGCGTTTTACTTTCTATGCGTTTTACCCCGTCAAAGAACAAATGGGAGCTTCCGCAAATAACGCCTGGTAACGGCTGCAGGGATCCAACCCTGGTGAAGTGGAAAGAAGACAAATACGACGAAAGACTCTTCATGATGGCTCATTGTGCTGGAGGCTACTATGACGTTTATAGGTCCACTGAGGATGGGTACAATTGGAATCCATTGGGTGAGCCAATTACCCGCGTGTGGGGCAACTCACATGGTCGAACAGGGGACGGCGTTAAGAGCGGATTCACCACCGCAATCATTGAGGGTAAGGAGGTGATGCTCATCACCGCGCCGATGTATGCCGCAAAGGAAAATGGAAGTGGAGAGGGTCGGCTCCATCTTTGGGTGACGGACAATGCACGCGTGCATGATGTTGGGCCGGTATCTCGTGAGGGTGATGACGCTGCCGCCAGTTCTCTTTTGGTGAAAAGTGAGGATGAGCTGATTTTACTGTACGAGAAGAGGAATGGTGACAAGCCATACAGTCTTGTCGCCATGCGCCTGACGGAGCAGCTGGAGCGGGTAAAGTCTGTGGTGAAGACATGGAAGGATTTGGACAGCGCCTTGAGAGTTCCCACTGAAGGGCTGGTTGGTTTTTTGTCCAGGACGTTGAACGGGACTGCATGGAAGGACGAGTACCTCGGCGTGAATGCCACAGTGGGGAGCGGAGTGACCAGCACGGAGAGCGGTGTGGCTCTCAAGGGAGCAGGGGCGGAGTGGCCTGTTGGCGACATGGGGCAGACTGTGCCGTACTACTTTACAAACAACAAGTTCACTCTTTCGGCGACGGTGACCATCCACGAGGTGCCGAAGGCAGGCAGCATCCCCGTTCCTTTGATTGGTGCGAGGCTGAACGACACGGACAGCACGGTGCTCTTTCAGCTGTCGTACACGAGTGAAAGAAATTGGAACTTCACACTTCACAAGAAGGAGTTTTTGGTGAAGCCGTCCGGTGATGTTGGCAATTGGGAAACAAACACGGCAATTCGAGTGACGGTGCAAAAGGATAACGATGATGAATGGTTTGTGTACGCTAATGGGAGAAAAATATACGAGACGGATGAAAAGGAAATGGCTCAGGACATTAACGCTGATCAGTTTGGTACACACAGGATCTCACACTTCTTCTTTGGTGCGGGCAATAATGAAGATGAAGGGAGCAGCCCTGTGACGGTGGCTGATGTCCTTCTGTACAACGACGCGCTGTTTGGCGATGACCTCAAAAACCTCAACGCCAGGACAGTCCCTATTCGACATCCGGCTGCCGAAGAACTGCACACTGCGGTGAAAGTCACAACGACGGGGGAAAAAAGGCAGACGGCCACACA